TAATACAGCACTTTTGATCCCCCTTCCTGTAACATTTTACAGTAGGTTACATGTATTTCTTTCTACATAGGATTGAGGGTCGAGAACAAACAAGGAGGAGGGGGCCATATTCACACAAGAACAAGAGAGAGAGATCATAAACATGGTTCTGGCCAAATCTCTCTCTGGGAGACACAGAAGTATATCATGATGTCACTTCCTTGCAATTCCAAAGCACTGACTGTCAAATTATCACACCTATGAGCCAATTAGTTAAACTCAGCCATCAGGTGCGCAAACACATAATTGCTTAATTGTAGACACACCAATCAGGTTTAAGCACTATAAAAATGCAGCACGTGAGTTCACCTGTCTTCAACCAAAATGGAAGGAGTCAGAAGAAGAGTGAGGGTGAGGAGTCGATGGTAGAGGAAGAGGAAGAGGCGGAGGCCGTGCCAGATGTAGAGGCCGAGGTGGAGGTAGAGGAAGAAGAGGACCTGAAGCAGGAGGAGAACGTGCTCAAAGAAGAAGAGGACCAAATTTATCAAATGAAATTCAAGCAACACTAGTTGACCATGTTGTGAACCATGGATTAATGCTGAGGGAGGCTGGACAAAGAGTTCAGCCAAAACTAAGCAGATATACAGTGGCATCTGTTATTAGGACATTTAGCAAAGAAAAGAGGTAAAAAAAAAAAATCTGTCTACAGTTACACTAATCAGCTGCTTATTGTATGCACCATAATCAGCACTTTTGATCCCCCTTCCTGTAACATTTTACAGTAGGTTACATGTATTTCTTTCTACATAGGATTGAGGGTCGAGAACAACAAGGAGGAGGGGGCCCATATTCACACAAGAACAAGAGAGAGAGATCATAAACATGGTTCTGGCCAATAATGCTATCAGGCTCAGAGAAATTCAAGCCAACATTATCGGGGACCATGCCATTTTCAATAATGACCATCAGGTCTCTCTGTCAACACTGGCACGCATCCTGAAAAGACATCAAGTTCAAATGAAACAACTTTATTGAGTTCCCTTTGAGCGGAATACAGAGAGGGTCAAACAGCTGCGGCATGAGCATGTGGAGGTATGTATTGTTCACTTTAGCACTGTGATGTCGCATACTGCACACGTAACCTTTTTACATGTAAATTTACTGTATAATAGATCTATGCTGAACTACACAATCTTGTCTTTCACTGTATTTCAGAGACTTTTACAGATGGATGCGCAGGAAATCCTGCTTGAGTTTATAAACATAGATGAGGCAGGGTTTAACCTCACAGAAGCAAGAAGGAGAGGCAGAAATATCATTGGCCACAGGCCTATAATCAATGTCCCAGGGCAACGTGGGGGTAACATCACCCTTTGCGCTGCCATTACACAGAATGGGGTCCTCCTCCGTCATGCCAATATGGGCCCTTACAACACACCTCACATTCTCACATTTTTGGACCGATTGCACAACATCGTCACAGCAGTAAACAAAATGCACCAGATGCAATACATTGTCATCTGGGACAATGTCTCATTCCACCGCTCTGCTCTGGTCCAGAACTGGTTTCAACACCATCTACAGTTTACATACCTTCCACCATACTCTCCGTTTCTAAACCCAATAGAAGAGTTCTTCTCCAGCCCCAGGCTCAGGTACCCCTCATTCAGGCCATGGAGGGAGACCTGTGACCAAAACGATGCTGCAGCTGTGCAAGGATGGATTCAACATTCAAGACGGTTCTTCCCACCTTGTCTTGCCAGTGAGGATATCGCCTGTGATGTTGATGAAATTCTCTGGCCAGATCCAGCTAGGTGAAGAGATAATATCTAGTATTTTCTGTACTGTATTGTACTGTCAGATGTTTTTTTTTTTACTATAATTGTAACCTGTACTGGATACAGTATTTTATGTTTGTCTGATATTTGCTGAGCTGACAGTGTCATGCACACTACTGTAGTAGCATGAAAAGTGGGACATGTTTTGTTGTGATTCTCCATGTTGACATGTTGACTGATTTGGGTATATGTAGATAAAATAAATGATAGTTTCATCAGTCTGCATTATTGGTCTTGTGTAGTGTTTGGTGAATTTGTTGTAAAATATATTTGCACTTTCTCTGTGTACTTCACTTACAGTGCCCTAATCACTGAGAAGTATAATTGCTAGGTTCAAACAGTATTAAGTCATATGAAATGTGTGTGTTTCATATGGTAACAAAATATGTTTTTTATAAATTAGTGTTTAGTTTTACAAGAGTGTTTCATTTTGCAAAGGATCTGAGGTGTTCTGCTAATTGGATGTGTGGTTGTGCTAATTGTGTGTAGTGTTTTGAAAAACCGGGCCCTGTTTTCCAAATTGTGCCTAAGCAATCAAAAAAAAAACTGTATTACATAAATCCTTACAGATTTATGAAGCGATCATGTCATGAACTGAACTGCAGGTGGCGCCACATAAAAGTCAAGCAATGACTAAAGTCACACTTAGAGGCCCAGAATGTCTAAAATTCATGGTAATCCATCCAGTATTTGTTGAGATCCAACATATGGCCAAAAGTATGTGGACAATGTACATTACACATTACTGGCAGGGATACAGCTTCTGTGTTTTCAATGCTTTCTGTACGTTCCTGCTATTTGTCAATATGCAGCTTCATCCCATTGCTCAACAGAAACTCCAATAATCGCACATTTGAATGCATAAGTGAAAACAAACAAGTTATTTTGTGAATTATATTTTATATCATCTCATCTTATAATATATTTACCTGTTCTGTTCATGATAAGCAATCAAATAAATGAATGGTGCCTATTTTGACTCAAGGTAGGTTCTATGTTGGACACAAAACATTGCATAAACAAATAATACTATAATATTAATGTCAAACAATACATATTTTCAGAATACTATGTTTATTGAGACCAAAAGCAAATGGTTAATTATTGAAATTTAATGTATTTTTAATATGTTGCAACATCTAAATTGTTACATTCAAGTAAATATAGTGAATGATATGTCATATGTGATCGTTCAATGGTTCGATTCATTAGCAGACAGATCTAAATTTAATAGATGTAAGTGTGGTTGGTCTCTGAGTAACTGAGAGAAATGCAAGAAGTGTTGTAACCATCCCCAGTTTCCCCTATGGGCCGGATTCATTTTGCTATAAATATATGCTAATGTTGCTGTGTGTGTGCTGGAAGTGCAGGGTAACACAAACACGTTCACCATAACAACTTTATAAAGCAACATCATATTTACAGATTTACAGACAATAGTGATCTGCTACTTGCAATTATTAAACAAAAGCATTATGCCTTTCACATTTTGTGTTAATCCTTTCAGCATTGTTAATATGAGGATCCGTCAGCACATAGGCTCACACTTTATTTGATTATAAATTAAAATCACTTATTGTTAGCGGACTGTTTCCTTATACAATTACAACTGCAGCTAGAGCACATTCAGATGTTAACGGCTTCGGGAAGTGTTTGAATTTCTGTGGGGCCCGTGAAGGCACCAGTGATCCTGGTACCTTTTCATCACTGAGGTGTTTCATTGTGAGCCACCGCAGGGCTGGCGTCGGCGCCTCCTCTCAGTTTGGAGAGTCTCAGTGTATTTTCAGTCGTTCGCTGTTTACAGAGACTTAAACCTGATCCTGATCCAGTCCTCTGCATGGGAGACCTCCTCGCATCTAAGATGAGCAGTTTGCGGGCATGTAAAGGACCGTTTGGTGAGTACAGACATCTGAGTTTACTGCAGAGTGTGTTACAAGATTAACAGCTGGTTTGTTTTTATTTAACACCGTGAACTGTAATTGTGAGACCTCTTAAACGGATCTTATCATTCGTCGTGTTTTATTGTTGTTTCTGTTTTAACAAACAACAAATACACACGTTTAACCATTTAAAAGGTTTTATTAGCTTGATAATAGATTTTTAACCCGTTTAAAGTGATTTCATCACCGTTAGTATGGGGACTCGATGTTTCCTGCTTGACTGTCTGTAACCACAATCTAAAGACTCCCTCACTCTACTGATAGAAAATCCCTCTGCCCAGTAAATGTCTCTTCATTCTGTGATACTGATTGGAAATGAATATTAACAGTAACATTAGTTACAACTGCAGCACCTTTAAAATCTCATTGTACTTTCAAACAACTAGAGTATTGAGTTATGACTTAACATAATGGGACCCTTTGTAGCCTACTGGTTTACAAGATGTAACTAATGTCTTATTAATGGTTAATGACTCATTTACTAATTCTTTCCAAAAAGTTAAGAATGACATTTGAGTTGCCAGGTTTGGCTGGTGTTTATCCTCCTCCACTGTAACTTTTTATAAATAACTTATTGAGATTTATAATTGCAGATGATTTATTAAGTACAACTGAACACAGCACAACTCAAACCACCAAAGAACCAAATCCCTCAGTGACTAAAGCACCACTGAAGTTGATCTACCTCTTTCTACTGACAGTGTGTGTGTTTATATAACCTCCATCCTGACACTTTTTAGTTTACATTTTGCCAAAAAACAGAAGAATTTGATATATCTAAAAAATAACATTATAATGTATAATGTGTTACAGAAGACCTAACCTCAGTGTCCTCAATGGAAGCTATTTATTAATGCCTCATACCTGATCTATGCAGTAGGAGGAAATAGGAAATGATTTATTAACCATTATGTAATCATTTAACTAAACCATTTAAGAAGGTTGTCAGATTTCCTACATACATAGGATTCATATGAACATGTGTTTGTCCACCACCTTCTATTCCATTCTCACTTTCAGTGACAGTTGTTAACTAAAGAGAGTCACTCATCAAAGAGCCAACTTAACTGATTTCTGTAGTAAACATGAGTGTAGCGAAGCGCTTCACCTGTTCACTGTGACGGTGCTGAACACTCACCATCATGTTTACATCAAAGACACTTGGCTTTCCAACACCTGTGTGTGTGTGTGTGTCTGTATGTGTGCGTGTGTGTGTGTACTGTTCACACAGATGTAAGATGTAATGTAATTGCCTTTAGATTCGGGTGTAACCAGCTTTTCCTGCCTGTAGTTACCGAAACCACTTTCACACACACATACTGTATTTGACACAGGATAATGAACATGTGTTCAGTCACATTGCAGGTTAACGGCTGTTTGCCTGCAATTCTGTATTATCTAATCACACACTGTAGTTGAGTAAATCTCTAAGATAAGCCAGGACGTGGAGCTTTAACAGTGTTTAAAATGGATGCTTTAAGACGCTTCAGTCGTGTCTTTACAGACTTTAGTTGCAAATTGATTGAATTCATTTTCTTTATTTGGACCAATATGGAAATGTCAATGCAACAGCATACATCTATCATTATTATCAAGTAACTAAGACTATGGCAAAGCTATCAATAATATCTGATTGTGGATTATAAACCAATAGTAAATTTGGGTCATATCCCCCTGACGGGACCATCTCGCTCCCATGTTTTCAAGCGTATACTATGAAAGTGACAATAAATTGGATTCTGATTCTGATTCATTAGACTGACTGACTTTTTTTCTTTAATATCCAAAATGAGCAATGTCTGAACTACATAAGACCACAGATGCAGGTCTTAGTCAGACAACCCACTATGACACATTCACACTGAGGGTAAGTGAAGTGTGGGTTTGCAGCTGTGACTGTAGTCATAGTGAGCCATTCAGATGTCACCTCTGTAGATTTTGGAACGAACACAGTAAGATTAACCATTAACTCACAAATGTCAGCTGTTTTAACACATCCCTGTAGGAACATCGGTGGTGCTGATGGAAAAACGTGACCTTCCCAGCGCAGTGGCTGAAGAGAGGGGGGTTCAGTTTAAAGTTGATCTGTCTTCTGAAACCTGGAAAAAGATTTTCTCATCATATCAAGCTGTGGAGATAAATAATTCTAAAAATAGTTATTTCTCTAGTTTGTGAGAATCTTTCTCTGGTATTTCTGACTCCACCCCAATACAATGGAGGTAAATTGAATTTCATTTGTGGCACAAAGATACAGCATTATGTTTCTCCACACTGTGGATAATCTGCAGAGCACACTGTCAGCTGATTTCACAGCTCACGCTGGAACTATTTCTTGATAAACATCTTAAAAAACATCATCAGTATCCATCCACCTGGTATTTCTGTAGCAGGGGTTGCCAAACATGGTCAGTGAGCACTGGTTTTGGTTTTGGTCTCTGCATTTGCACTTGCACAGTGGCACCAAACCTGGCAACCCCACTGTTGACAACAAGCATAGCACAAAGTAGCCAAATGTTACCAAACATCATCATGTTTCTGTTTCTGTTGAAACACAGGTGGTTTCTTCATTAGTGAGCTTTAGAGGTGTTCGGTCAGTGACAGGCTGTTTCCCCTGCTTTCAGTCTTGATGCTGAGCTAACCACATCATGATGTCTGCTCCTAAACTTACAATCAGCTAAAAGATCACAATCAAACTTCTTATCTTAGACTGAGAATGGAAGCAGGTAAGATCTTTAAGACTAAGGTCTGCACCTGTTCAGTTGTGCAAGTGTGGTTTATGTGACTGATGGGGGAGAAATCTCATTTTAATTGGCCGATATGTCTATAAAGACGTAGTATGAGCATGAATATACCTATCTGATGTGCAGCTAATGAATATGCACACACCACCGTCTATCAGCAGAGAGTTTGTACTGGGTATGTGTATGTAGCTGCTCTCAGTCTAGACGCCACTGTGGACTGTGTGAGGTATTAGCATGTCATTCACCTCCATTCATGTGTAGAAAAACAAAACCATGACAAAGCAAACAGGCTGCTAAACAGGCTGCTCAGAGACTGCAAGACTGGGTGGTCAAAATGGAGAGAAGTAGGGTTCACCTGCATGGAATTATGGCCCTGAGCAATGTATTATGATGTGGTTTATATTTCATCTTTTGAACTTTATCCAGAGCGTGCAGTCACATGCCCCTGCATTCCCAGAGAGGATGAAACAATGCTCAACTGATCTGGGGTTTGACTTACACTTGGTAATTGGGTGACTGGCTCTAAGTCCTGATAATTAATTCACTGTATTGAAAGGAGAATACCACCCAGGGGTGCATTGTTCAGTTATGTCCTGGTAGCAAATTAACTTCAAATCGCGGAAACATTTTACATCTGTAGCAATTTATTCAAAAGTTCAACAACTGTTGAACTGGCTGATTTTCCCGCCTTCAAGCTGCCATGACTTTACATTCATTTCAATGGTATGTGCTCTTTGTGGGGCTTTCAGCGTCTGCTGCTGAAATGCACTGTTCAGACGTCTGAGGACATCACCCTGAACTCTGGGATGTTACAGTTATAGCAATTTTGTGACATTTAATAAATCAATTAATTAGTAGGGAAATTAATTGTCTGATCAATCAATAATTAAAATATTCATTTGCACCAAGAACTGCAATCTCTGTTTTGACCTAATTCAGTCTGGGGAAGTTTTAGGTTATTCAAGTTAGATCCAGTTTTAAAGAGAGTAAAGGGCCAATCACACCAGTGATTCTAGAAATGATATTCACATCAGATCATGTTCAACATCAGAACTAGCATGCCCTTTATGTAATGAGGTGGATGGAAAGTAAGGGAGTTGTGGTGGAAGTGGTGGACGTGTGTGATGGAAACTTTCATACAGGAAACCAGAGCTCAAGTCTCGTCACACATTTTCAGTTAACATTTACTTTTGTAGGAACTGTCACCAGTCTTTCCCAAACCTTAAACAGGATGTAGTTTCTATAGTAGCAAGAAATCAATTTGAAAATGTTGGCATTAGATATAAGTTTTGCAAGATCGTCCAATATTGATTTTCTTGTCTGACAATTAGCGTTTCAGGTTGAGCACTGATGAAGAATTGGGTGTTGTCTGCAAATGAAAATTGATAAATATGACGTCTAATAATAAGATATAAAAGCTGCAAAGTAGTGGACCCAGCAAAGAGACTCTCAATGTAGACTCTTCTTCTCTTTTTTTGTAATGAGGAGCTTTGAGTAGTTTGCCAGTTCAGAGACTTTTTATATATAGTCAGGAGAGACCATGTCTGTTTGGCTGCTATCCCAAGATCAGATATATTTTGTATTACCGGAAAAACTACTCAGACACAATGCTCTTTGTTTTGAAACCTGTTTTTTATTTTATGGTTTTTCTTTTTTGGTAGTGCTTGATATTAGCTTACTAGCTAGCTAACTAGTTTTACCTCGTTTTTTTTTTTAAAGTTCGATAAATGCATGGTCTTTCCAAAGTCAATGAGTATTTGTGTTGAATAATCGTGATCTTAGTATTGATCAAAATAATTGTGATTATGATTTTTGCTATAATCACGCAGCCCTATTTAGAAGTTTAAACTGAGGAGACTCTGGAACCAGATGGAAATGGTGGTGTGCTTTGGAGAATAGTCAGTGATATGATGATGTCAGGCAGTCTGTTGTTAAACTGTTGAAAATACCAGGCTGATGGTTCAGGACGTCTGGCACAGCCAACAAAGCTTTTCACAGATATTTGTGCAAAAATGTTATTCTACATGAAAACTACAGGTGTATGCTCAGTGTGGCTTTTTTCCATATGAATTACTGATTCCATGCTCAAATACGGAATAACTAGCTACTTTCTAAAAATATAGAGACAAAGTAGAAAGTGCAACATGTCAACATTTCCTAGTAGTGTTGTGTAGGCTGGTGTACAGAAGATGTGGTGATGGGGATTTACCATTCATTTCATCTCCAATGGATCACACAGGCTGTCACATCCTGTGGTCACTGCTGTGAAAAGGAACGAGTGAAAACGTTTAATCCCATAATGAGGAATACATAAGACTGGCAGACTGGACACCTGAAATACACACAATCATTGTGTAGAAATGTAGAATTTCTGTCAGCCTGGGAGCACAGTATCACACACTGGAGAAATGTCAGAGCCACAGTCATGGTTCAGGGGAAATTATGTGTATTTTTGTTTGAGGAAGTGTCATTGTGATGCACATGTGCCCCCACAGTTGTGTGACTGTGTTGTGACAGGTGCTCGTGTCCGTGGGAGGCCTGTAAGAGTCTCTGATAACGGAAATGTTAAGAATAATGATCATCCTCACCTTCATCATTTTAACCTTTAATCACTGTAGTCAGACCACTGGATGTGAATGTGGCTGCACTTGTGCAGCAGATGTGAGTGATCACTAATTTGTTGAGCAGAAGTATGATCATTTTAACCTGTTAGTCCAGGTGTAAACAGTTCTTTGTTTGGTGTTTGAGGATCAGAGTTTCTCCTGTGGGAACATGAACTTGTGCATTTCTTAAAACTTCGTTTTGTTTTTGACTTAACTGGCGGCTTACATCTGTGCTCTGTGTACAACATAATGTACAACAGTTTAATCTTTATAAATACATGAAATTATACTCATTCATTTTTCTCAGTCATTTTTTTGAAAGGCTCAGTCATTTCCTAAACAGCTGGGCGGAGTGGGCGCTGCTGAGCATTTGTTAGCATCTATTTTCGGCGGATGAATCCACGTGTTTCTGATAGCAGGAAGGAGGAAGTCGTGTTAGTGATTGCAGGTGGTGATACTGTGATAACGTGACTGGAGTTTACACTGTGTGTTGGTTAAAGTGAGGCTACCATAAGTGTTTCCTGTGACATACGGGCAGGTTAAACTCTCAGTGACCTGCACACACGACTGCTCTCTCTCAGGTGAACACCACACCTGAACACTTTATCCTAATTCTAGTTTCCCTTGAAAATGAAAGTTTCATCACAGAGTGTAACCCAAGAAAGGCCCTTTGGATACAGTGGTATCCAGTGGGTGTTTAGTGGAGTGAAAAGCTGCCTTTGTGCTGCTCTCTCAGCTCAAAATATTCCTTCTCACTGCTGAGGGCATTTAATTTAAGAGTTTTCCATGTTGGTACTGAACAGTGTTTTCATTGTGTGTGTCTTTCATGCACGATCATAAGCTCATCCTCACACCACCACGTTTCATTTGGCAGGACTGATGCAGCTTGAATAAAAGTAGTCATGACATAAAGCGATATCATGAAAAAGTTCCTGCCCTCATGGACCCGTTGTCACACTCACATACCAGCAACTGCTGGCTGGCTGGAGGATGTGGCTTTTCTGTGCATGTCTTAGGTTGTTAGGAAGTGGATGAGATGAGTTGAGTTGAGACATCTGTTCACAAACCTGAAGCCTCTTCCTTTTGTGACAGACGGAACCAGCTCTGAACCGGTGGAGGACACAGACACCACCAACTTCGTGGCAGAATTTGTGAGCACCTTTTATTTATTAACCCAGTTACATGTTTGCCTTGACTTGTCTTCCCTTCAGTTTGCTTTGTGCTGATTTCTTATTGTTCTTGTGTAGTCTCGCAGTAATCTGCTAAGAAATGTACCATAACTGAACACACTGTGCTGTGATTGCTAGAACCTGGGGGCTTATTGAGGAACAAGTCGTAGCAGGCTGTTCCCTCTCTGTGCACACAAGGTAGTAATTTTCCTCCACAGTCACAGACTACATCTTGATTGTTGAAGAGACTGAATATGAAGCTCCCACAAAGAAAGTTCACAGTAGACGAACTTGTGTTTCTCAAGTTTCTCATTTCAGCTTCCTTCATTTTACTATCTAATGTCATCATGTCTCTCCTTGTCTCTCCCACAGTCCCTGGAGGCCAATTATCCAGTGCAAGTGACAGATCCTCATGGTAAATAAGACAAATAAGTCAATTTTACACAGCACATATGGACACTCTCATATTTCTATCAGCATTCACTCATTCTGTTTCTTCTCAGATAAAAACTGGTATTTAGATAATGGCAATAAATAAAGGCCTGGTAACAGTACCTACCTACCGACTGACCGAATGAAAGCAAGCTGATTGGTTGATTCAAACAGAGATGAAAACAAATGTAAACATACTACATAAAAGTGTTAAAGAAAGTTGCACATAAACATATCTGAGCTCAGCTCTCTGTACAACTACAGCTTCAATACATCAGGACAACAGTCAAACATGGAATGTGTTGTCTCTGATTGAAGCTAATAAATACTCTGCTGTTGATATAAATCCAGACTTTACACTGTTATTGAACTGTCCTCTGTTACTATGAAAAATGTGCTCAGTGTTAAATGTGTACCTGCAGTGTTTTTTTGTCACGTGTCTGCAGCAGGTGCTGTGACGCTCCACCTGAGTTCCATGCCGTCTGGATATCTGAGCCCCTCCTCAGACAGAATAAGACAGGTCAGTATCACCTATGATGCATGCACAACCTGTTTTGAAAAATTAGACCTCCATCGTCATCTTTTACAAAAACTCAAGTGTTTTACATGTCACTGAAAAAACAGATTTACACAGAATTATGTTGTTGAACATTCACCAACAGCTATAGGGCTGAATATGTGATGTATGTATCATTGTAGCATTGGAGACTCATATTTTTTAAAGAATGCCCTATTGCAAAAATAATTCAGAGGATTCAGTGGTCTGACATGGCTGTGAAACGTTTGGTAATAATGAGATAAATGCTAAATGTAGTGTAACAGTAGCACAAATAAGGGAACAGTCATGAAGTTAGCAAACTGACTCAGAAATGTCATTACAGCTCTACTATCTGTCAATGGTATGCTAATAATGTGTCACTCACCCAAGGAACTAGACGACACCACGATTCGTTGTTACTGATGGATTTATTAATCTTCTGCACATCTAACGGCACCATCATCACCAATGCCCCCATCGTTGAACTAATTAAATACATAATAATGTACAAAATAAACACAATCCCATTACAACAGACTACAGAAACATAAATGTAAGCATACACGACGACACATAAGCATGTAAATAAACAAACCTCGCTGGCTGCACATGACCAAGAGAATGAATGGACCAAAAATAAATCTTAAAAACGGGCAGTGCATTACCTTTTTAACTTAAAACTGGAGAGGTTAGTCCAGAGACAGACAGACAGGAGTCCTGTAGAAGGTAAGGGTTAAGGAGATCCGACAGGTATGAAGGAGCTTGCCAAATTAAGCGAAACTAAGATTAGTGTAATGTGGTCCAATTTTAGTTTTAGTTGAATGCTAGCTTCTTGCTATCTCTCTGTATGCGCCATGGACAGAAAAGACCAAACATTAGTTAAAGTTATAAAAGGTGGTCTAATCAGAAAAGAGAATGGGATCAAACATAACACCAAATGTCTTGGCTGTCAGACTGTGAAATCACCCACCTGTCAAGAGTAACTATTAACTGAACGAACTCAAAATAGTGCCCGTTGGGCTGGCCAACGACCAGTACCTCAGCTTTATGAGAATTTAGGAAACAATGTAACACCCAATTTTCCAGGCAGACCTCTAATTTATTAATCAGAGAACTATCAGACATATACAGTCAAGTATCATCAGCATAGCAGCAGAAATTAATTCCATTACCACATATGGTTTGGCCAAGAGATGAAACATAAAGAGAGAAAACCAATGGGCCAAGAACAGAGCCCCTAGGTACTCCATATTTCACATCAGAAAATGTTGATACAGAACATATAACATATAAGAACATACAGGAAAACACCATGTTTTCCTTGTGGACCACAGTGTAATATAGGACATATACATTTAAAGAACAATAAGTGGAACAAACAAAATAGTAAAACTGACTAGAAAATTCCTTGAGAAATTTTAAATGTTCTTGCTGCTTGGTGCGTATAATTCACTCCTCATGTTTCAATCTGTACAAAGGATGTTACTTTCAGTTTCATTCATGTCATAGAGATTTATCCTGACACTGACCTCAGCCACTGCAGGTGTCCCTCAAAAAGCCTTTTGAAGCTGTCACGACTGGCCAAAATAACCTCACACTGATGGTTTAAAATCCAAATTTGCCCCTACAACCATAGGAAGACATGTGTACACATATTGTACATATACATCCCCATAAAGACGATAGCTTCTAAGATCAAACTTTTATAACCTACCTTACCTCTTACCTTTTTGAGACTCTTATTTTGAAAGTGTCTGTGCTTCTGTGTTTGGCAGTATAAATTGCATAAGGTTTTGTGCAACAGAGCCAATAATTCCCTCTTACCATGTTGAGACTTTTATTTTGAAGGTTAATCAAATCGTGGCGATGGTGTTTGTGTGTTTCTGTCGAATTCATATTATTAGTAGTATATCTAGTTATATACATAATAATGATATATATATGTGTGTGTGTGTGTGTGTGTGTGTGTGTGTGTGTGTGTGTGTGTGTGTGTGTTTGTGTGTGTGTGTGTGCGCGCACGCGTGTGTGTGTGTTTTTGTGTGTGGGTCTGGCTGTGCGTGTGTATGCAGGAGTTAAATTGGGCCGGAGCCCTCCAGAACTGAGCTCCCCTCCTCACGCCTAAATCGAACCCAGCTGGAGCTGAGCTCTGTCTCCCTCAAAATCATGCCATCATATCACACTTTAAATCCTCCAGTACCCCTAACAGCATATGGGTCTTGATGAGTAATTCTGTAGACTACAAAGAGAAATATTTGAGGGGATTTCTACGCCTAACCAATGTTAACAACGAGATAGGTGCTATCAATTATCAGATGTTATCAGATGCTTCAGGCACATAGTCTCTAACAGTGCGAATATCACCATCTGACATTCAGTCAAATCGTTTTGCTCCACGGTAAGTTTTCAACTGTTCATCTGTGAGTTAGCTAACATCTTGAGTATTTACTGAGCTGTGTTTCCTTGGTGAGCTAGATATGTTCTCTCCCCTCCCTTGTGTTATCTGGACATTACAATTACAGAAACAAAAATACAGTTCGAAATCGGAGCATGAAAAACTAATTCATAACTGATAACGTCGTAGACACTGAAAGACAAGGCCGAGCAGCAGCTACTTCTTCAGACCATCGGGGCAAAGTCAGAAATATTTTATCTATGATTTATTCCCATACTGCTGCTCCATGCGCACACAGGCAGGTGTGTGAGTGAGTTACAGTGACAGTCTATGTCTTTGTTTCTCATTGTTGATGATAACAGCTTTTTAGGTTACTATGACTATACAAGATCATGAATATAATTGTGCCTCAGTATTGTTTTATTGTAATTATGTGCCTGCAATGCAATAGCATTGAAGGCATATCCTGCATGCTTACTCAACTTATTCATCTTCTATATCTAAATTTCGGCGCGTAACTTCTGCAGTTTTGAGAAAACCCAGACAATATACATATCAGTACGTGCGGTTCAATCGGTAATGGTGTGCTATGACTTTTCTTAGCGATTTGAGTAACCATAGGGAAGTAAATGGCAATAAAAGGTGAAGAAATTACCATAGAGAATGAATGGGAAAATGTCTTCAAAATGACCAAGCCCAGCCCTCTACTGCTGCATAATACTTCAACGTAGAAAAATGGTTGAAACAATTCACAAGACTTGAGACTCTTTTGGGTTAAATCGGTATTTTGACTCCTATTACAGTTTTCACAAAATTGCAGTTTACGTTTTGTGTAATTTTTACACCATTTCAGACTTTATATGGGTGTGTATTGCACGGAATATTCAGAGCTAGAGTGGATGACATCACAGCTAGAGTGGGAGAAGCTCTAGAACTCCTCTGAAAAAATTCTGTTTAACTCGTCCTTCTGGCCACATATTTCAGTCTTGAAAATCACACATCATGGCTTCCTCAGTAGTAGACAAATTTATGCTGTTTCATAGAAAGTGTCTACCTAAGCACAGAGACTAAAAAAATTTCAACAGTGAGCCTCAAAGTGATGGGAGTACCCTCCATCTCTCCCTTTGACTGCAATACAAATTCAGGAGCTGATTTCAGAAGAAAAACTGAAGTGTTGCTTATTTGTAACTCGCTAATGTGTCCACAGTTTTGGCTCTACAAACACCAAAGCCAGGTATTCAGTGCACGGAGGTCTTGTGTCGGTCATGGTCTGCTCATGCTTCTGATAGGAGTTACTATTTTTTCAGAAATAGCAGTTATTTGAGAGGCTTGCCGAGCCAAAATCTCACTTAGCTCTGTGTCAGCTCTGTTTTCCAGCCAGACACGGGTGTTCGAAACAGCTCATCAAGAGACTCTTTGATCTGTGTGATGTTTATAAACACACACACACACACACACACACAGACACACACACACACACACACACACACACACACACACATACTACTAACACAGTATGGAGAAATGGACAAAGCTGATTCTTAATGGCTAATAATTAACACTTACCGTTATCACTCTCAAGTATGAGAGCATCTATAAGGCAAATCAGCACTGTATATGTGCGTGTGTTCATGTTTTTCTATGATTGTGAGGACAATTTCGTTAAGAACACATTTTTGTACACATATATGTATACACATACTGACAGACACACAAACCATCTCCACCTTTGGATATTCAACTTGTAAAAAAATCATTATTTTGGCATCTGATTTTTCAAAACACACAATTAATATGAGCTGCTTTTTCAACCTTTTTAGAATTGTGGTGAGGTGATCTTTTCAATAGGACTTGTAGATATCCCTCTAATATCCCATTTTCAAACACAAGTTTCATCTTAAAAGCTGTTGACTGCCCAGGGAGACGGAGGGGATTGTATGTGTGTGTTTCTCTCATCTGCCTGGTGGCTGCAGTTGCCAGTGGCAACCAGTGTCTCAGCAAGTGCTACTCAGCAGGTGTTCTGGGCAGAAATTGGCAAAACTGATTCTGATGGTTAATTAGGCTCATTAATTCTTAGGCTTTTAAAGGTGTAATGTGTAAGATCTAGCCAGATCTGGCAAGAATTTTTGTTTAAAATGTTCAAAAAATGAACTAATACTATCAATAGTATGTGAAGGAGCCACAGTGATGATGTCATGACCAAGACCACCACTTATTATATTTCAGAGATATCTACTGAAATGAGCATGCTAACCAACTAGCTGCATCCTGGGCCTTGTAATACCACTTAATGACACTAGATGCTGTGTGAGTCAGTGTAGTGTCTAGTCTGCCCTCAGTCCTGCGAACAATAATAAAAGCTTCCTTTGGAGCTTGAAGTTACGCTACAGCTCCCAAAAAAAAAAAAAAAAAGCTGCCGACGAGCATCATAGAAACGCAGAGATGGCTGAAGCACCTAGAAAATGATCTTTTTCTCCATCCCGAAGGACCGCTCCGACAAGAAACCACGTTCAACTGCAGAGAAGCAAAACACGGGTGTTTTTCCACCGCTGGAGACAGCTCTGGGCAAGTAAAGAGATGCGGTTTGACG